CTGAATTTAGCAGAAAAAGTTAGAAGAAGCACAAAAATGTTGTAGTTAACAGAAATAACCTGAAACAAGCACAAAACAGCCGAAAAAATGTTTACATTTGCATAATTAAGTTAAAAGAAGTTGAAGCAGAACAAAATGTGAAATGAGCAGTAAAAGGTTGTAAACGCATCTAAAGATCTGAAGGACGTAAAATGAGATCAATTAATTTTCTATGAGGAAAAAAGTCAGAAAAGGCTAAATATTTCAAAAAGCTAAAGTTGCACCGATACCAAACATCATAACAGGATTGTCCTGAAAGAGCTGAACATTTTGATTCATGATTTGTTGAAATAGCACAAAACTTGTGGAAAGCGAAAGATGCTGAAAAATGGATCACAATAGTGTGAATGCTTCATAAACATTCACACTATTAATGGCACTTTCGGACCTAATGGATGTCAAAATAAAGCTACGATAGCGCCGTGTTCTGAGCAGATAACAGCTGGTTTCAATACAAGACATAAAAAAATTCTATTATCAAAATAGAATTGGGACCAAAACACATGCTGCTCTAATGAAACCTTATTTTTATATATTTGGACAAGCATAACCTTTAGCATCCATCAGGGGGTGCTCCATCACCCTTAGCGCCCCCACTTCTCACCGCCTTACTGTTGCATTGTTTGACCCAGTTTGGTGATTTCAGTACGATGTGATGTGAAGAAGGGCAGATCAGAAACCTTTGAATACACGACGCCCGCAAATGCTGTAAACCACAAACCAGAAAATTACTGATTTCATCCAGTTCGCCATTTATTGTCCCAACATTCCTGTAAAGATGTTTCGAGGAATACCGACTAATCCTTCGCCGTAAAAGTAACTCTGCAGACGGTTGTAATACAGAGATTAATACAAGCCTCGGATTTTTATTAAAGCTGGAGCACGATGGACTCAGCTTAGCATGAAAAAGTCTGTTTGCGTCATACAAACACTTTTCATAAACGTTTTGCTCCTTTGAAAGTCAAAAAGTCTCAAAACTATTTAAACAACAGTTAAACGGCTTCAGCGGTCTGCTCCTCTCGCTGAACCCGTAGCAGGCAGCCCGACCCCGGCCAGCCACGCCCAATCTGCCCCGCTCAGTCTGCCCGTCTAAGAGGAGGGTCAGACTGAGCGCGGCTGCCCGAAACCAGACTGCCTGTTTCGGACTGAACGAGAATAACACACCGCTGAAGCCACGGAGCGCGAATGTTTACAGAGAAGCTGCTAAACTTCTTCATAATTAATAACCAGTAGAAAACAAAGTATTTGCAGTATTTGCAAGATATAGTTTACCCTCCAGGAGATATTTATCAGTACAACAGTAGACGATCATAAAAAGCATATGAATTGAAAATTA